TTTTTTACTTTTCTTGAATTGATTCCAACAGGATCTTGAAATTGGTATGACCGGTCTCTCTCTCTCTTCTACTACAGTAGCATCACAAATGAAATTCCATAAAATAGGTCACAACAACTATAATGCAACACCTCAGCTCTTAACTGTAAACAAAATTGTGCCTCCTGAAGTCATTGACGAGTTGTAAGCTACAAGCACCACAAAAACTATGCACGATTTACAACCTGATGAGCTGAGAATGGACGAACAGAACAAAACAATGACATGATAAATATTCATACCCTGAATACTTATGGCATGCCGTGCACTCCCGTTGAACTATCCTTTGATCTGTGCTTTCTTTTCTTACTCCTAAGTCACCAAAAGAAAATTGCAAAAAATGCTTTATAGAGTTGTAGAAACATAAGTGTTCTATAAAGCAAAAAGTTAAGTTCACAGCAAGTACTTGTCGTGGGAGCTTGGGTCCAAGCATGACTTGAGCTTCCTATCAATGTGCTTAACGTCTTTCGAGGTAGGAGTCTCGAGCTTATTTATCTATTAACATTTTTGAAAAAAAAAAATGTCAAGAAAAGAAATTTACTAGCACGTAATTATCCTTAAGTTACCAATGAAGGGGGCACCTGTAATTTTGTAAGATATCTAGATTCTTTTATAGAAATAATTCGAAATTATTTCTAAAAACTGTACCAGCGTATCAATGGTATTTAGGGAAAGTGTGAGGTCTGAAAACTTATCAGCAGAATGCTGCCGAGATAGCATGCTCTTAATGTACCTGCAAACATACAGTTCACCACAGAAGTTATTTCCAAAAGCAAATAAGTAGTGACTGCAGAGGTAGATGTAATCAAAAGGGATGTGGTGGCTTATGAACCTCTCAAAGTCAACAGCTTTATGAAACTCAGAAGACCTTCGTAAAGCTGCCAGTGCCAGCTGCAGAAGCAAAGTAGAAATAAAAATTCACAAGTGAACTACACGTATGAATTCCCATGGCCACAAAGTTCTAGGTAGAAAAAATGGTGGAAATTCAAAATTGAAATTTAATATATCAAAAAACTGCTTTAAGAATGTGAAATAATATTAAGAAAACAATACCTGCCCTGGTGGGAACAAAAGGGGAGCATCACTCCTCATAGTTTTATCAACTTCAGCTTTAGCAGATTCATGCAAACTCTACAGACAAAGCACACACATTATAAACTGGGAAAACACTAATAGCAAACATTAATAGATACTCTAGCTACCCATGCTATATGTAGTGAACTTTTGCCATTTAATTGATAGGGGAACCAGAAGAATGCATATCAACACTTTAGATAAGTTTTTACAAGAAAATGTCAGACGAGCACATCTTAGAGACAAAAACATACCTTTATTATATCTGAATGCACCACATTTGCATCGTAGAATTCCTACAGTAAGAAAAGAAAATCCTAATAGCATCTCTTGCCACATGCAATAAAGATGTACCAGTCAGCGAAAGGAAGTACAGAAATATATGTAAAGAACCTCCATATCACTAATAAAGCCATCAAGCGCCCGATAGGGTGCGTAAACAATAAGGTCAAATCCTAGACTCTGCAATGAATTAAGACAATAGCAAATAGTCATTAATTAAGTTGGAACAACATGCAGAGAGTAACAAAGGCAAATAACATCCATGCCTGAAGAACCAGCATTTCATTAATAAGGATCATTTGATGATCCTGTTCGATCCCTTTCCCAAGCTCCTCTGCTGACACATGGTTCTCCTCTGCCTTACAAGCAGCATATATGCAGGTCAGCCTGTAGGTGAACGGGTCAGTAAAAAATTGTCAATAATCGACAATTCCTAGGTCAAACTTCTGGTATTAGCATGTGTACAAAATACAATGGCAGTTATCAAATTGTACAGATGGACATCAAAGATCAAATTCCATAATGTATATGTTTTTCTAATAAATTCTTGTTGTAGACTGCAACAATAATACAAAAACGATGCAAGAAAAGAGTGGTACTCAAGAAGCGGTCATACATGATATTTTTTGGATGATGTTCCATCACGGACCATTGCAAATAGAACCTTTTAAAATAAATAAGAGCGGTAGCCTGCAGGAAAAGAAAAGGAAAATAAAAAAAGTGCGTGAATTCTCACAGAAAGCATTAGACTCTCAGCTCCACACTGTCTCGAAAAACATGTTTACCTGAATTTTACGTGGGAATTTGAAGGCGTCACAAACATCTTGGATTTTGAACTCATAAAAAGCCCGAAGTAGTTGTTCTTCTTCTATCTTGAGAGCTTTTGGGCGTGAATGCTTCTCAGCTAAACAACCACCAGCAATAGCACACATGAAAATAATGACATGAACATTTTTTCTTAATCAACCAGCAAGAATTTATGATAATGGAGACGAAAATTATAGGTGCTCTGTATGACATGTGGGGAGCTTACAACTATCTCTTGCATCACGTTCATGTTCAATATAAGTGAACGATCCATCAATGTCTACTTCCATCCTTGTTGCCCCATACTTTCAAAACATAATAACATTCTTAGCATCAAAGAAAATGTAATAGTAATGCAGAAATTACAACAGCATTTGCATGTCTGAATATCAGATGAAACTGAGCAAGAAAATGTCAGCATTTCCAGAGTCTTGCATCCGCTTCACTGAAAGAGTATCTGTGTTCTACTATTGCAAGTATTTCTAACTAGTAATGCTTCAGGAGATGAGACCTTTCGAACAATAATAAACTGCCACTGTTGTTTTTTCACTCAATATTTGCTTTAACAAAACATTTGTAACGAGTAATGCTCCACTCAATATAAGTAACCCATTCCTTTTTCCCCATATCTTTTCTATGGGAATGTGCATATAAATAAACCACAAATGCAAAAGCAAATACCTTTTCAAGTGCTTGCTTAGCTCGTTTATTAGCATCCTTGTATTTTTCCTTCTGAAAAGTACATAAGGAAAAAAAAAAAAAAAAGGAAGAAACAAAATTAGAGAAAACCCAAAATTTGGGAAGGCTCATATGACAATCAGTACCCCGTGCACAAATACACACGGCCGTGCTACTAAAAATACAGAGATGGATGTGTTCAAGGCCACTGCAGAGATTGATTAAGAGCAATAGAGTTCAAAATTTACAAGATCCTGAGGAGCGAATATCCACTTTGCCTTGTGCGTTGAGGTCATAAAATCTGCCATTGATATCCTTTTTCTTAACACAGACAAATAAAAGTAGGTTTCAGTAAATGAAAGAGAGAGCTTAATTTAGTTCTGATGTCGGTAATAAGGAGGTTCAAAGGATTACCTTTTCGACTAAATAATTCTCCAGCGACGTTAGAAGCAGTGATAATTCTCCGGCTATGTCACTTAGAAGCTTTTTAAGGGAATTGGCGGGACAAGGGTTGGGAAGGGGCCTTTTGCTGTCCGCCGGCGTCTGCTTCCATTTCTGCACCTAATTAAAGTTTTGAAACTATTTACTATTTACAAGCTCGCAAATTATTATTACAAATATGCAAAGCAATAAATACAAAATATTTGATAGGCCTACTTGACCCAATTAAGAATGTTCGGTAATGCCATTCGAGAAACTCTTATCACCTCATACTCAATTTTACAAGATTACTACATCTTATCGCTTTGCATCTTCTTGGACCCCTTTCCATGTTTTCAGCCTAAAAAATGCATTTGAAAGGCTGTGGGCAAGCTCAACCCAAAACCGATGAACATCCTAAATTGATTCAAGCCCCAATGGCGGCCAATACCAATCATATAGCTCAAATTCAAGAACAAACCAATCCCTACAAAACTAAAAAGACTCCAAATTTAATCCACACAAGCCACTTAAGATTCAGAAGCAACATCCAAATAATGAACCCCAGGAATTACCCAAATCAAAACCACCTTCAGTCTATATGAATTGATAAAGACAACCTTATCAAACACACAAAAGAGTTAACTAATGATTATTGTATCTAAACTTCTCCTCTTCCAATACAAACACACACACCAGTGCGACTGTTCCAGTGTGTGACGGTGCGGGATTAGGGTAGGAATAGGGATGGAGAGTTGTACCAAGGTTTGCCAGCAAAGAAGCTACGAGCTATCAAAGGAATTCAAGAGAAAGAGCATAAAAAAACTTACGAAATTGAGGAGGCAAAGATTCAGGAGCTCCAGTCGAAGCTCAGTCTCCAAAAGTTCTGCAATAATTCACTACCGGGCGGTCTCGTCTGTGAAGAAAGCCGTGTCGGGCTCACAGACTCACAGTCGACCGACGGAGGCCGCTTGAAGGAGATGTGCCAGACCCTCGTTGGTGACCTTAGATGTTAACAGTGTTTGATTAGCAAAGGAGCATCCTGCCAGTCTTCTTTCGAAATCTTATGTGGCAAAATTACATGTTTTTTTATTAGGTTTTGGTAAATTTTAATTTAATTCCAAACAAAAAATAATTAGGTTCAGATTACCATAAATATGTTGATTATTTATGGTGATGTTACATTTATTAATTGCATTTTAATATCATTCCTTATTATAACTAATGAATTGTATATATATTTTAAAACTTAATAACTCTTGTATTTTTCATATATAATATATCAAATTAATCTTCTTTTGATGAGTTTCGATTTAACATCCATATTGCATGTATAAAACAAATCATTTATATTTATATTTATAACAATAATAAAATTATTTTTAATATTAATTAGAAAAATAAAATTATTTATCAACTAATATATTTATATTTCAAGTAGTTATATGATATAAGTTATAGAAACTAATATAATACAACACATGTAATCATAAGTAACACATGTCATTCTAAAATATATAGTAATATATTTTTTGTAAAAAGGTAAACTAAATTTAATATAATTTTCTCACTAATTTTAAAATTTAAGAATAATTTTTTAACAAGCACCCGTGTATTACATGAGTGTTGTATTAGTTAGTTAAATATTACTTAAAAAATATGGGATTAGTTAATTATTACTTAAAATTATATGGTATTATTACAACTAGCACGTAGCCGTTAAATGAGTCATTTTCATATAATCTATCTGTTTAGGCTAAAAAACAATTAATTTGGATCATATATTTTATATTGATGAGTGTTGGTTTTAGGATTGCACAATTGGTCAAAACCGAACCGACCGAAAGTTCGGTTTTGTCCAGTATCAAAACCGAACCGAAAACTACAGTTGGGTTCGGTTTCAAACCAAAAATTTATTGATTTTTTCGGTTTGGTCGATAAAATAGAAAATGACAATAATAAAATTTTCAAATAACATATATTACTTAATAATTTTACCAAAACAAGCTAAAAAGCATAAAAAAATAAAGTTCAGCCAAAAAAAAAAACACGAGCTTGATAAGATGAATCAAGAGTTAAAATTTAAAAGAAGAACGAGAGATGAATCACGGCGCACACATTCAGACACTCCATCACTGATCGCTTGGCGTCGGCGCTCTAAAGTCGAAAATCCCAAATCGCAACACTTTGAATTTTGAAATCCCAAATCGCCATGGCCCTAGCTCGGTCACTCCTGCTCCCACACACACTTGGCAGGCCGCTCTCGACGACGACGCTCGCCTTCTCAAATGAGTGTGTGAATATGCGCCGTGCGGCGGACGGGCGGAGAAGATGGTAAGTAGGGTTTTCGGCTTGTTCTGGAAGATGGGTAATGTGAGCCTGTGAGAAACGATTCTATTTCGGTGAGCCTGTGTTGCCTGTGACAGATTGAATAATTGAGCGGTCGCAAATAAGTGAAAAGAACATTAAATTGAGCCTTCTTTGTGGTGGGCGGCCCGTGGTAGCTTTGGGCCTGATGGTTATATAGTATATCATTATATTGAGCCTTTATGCATAATATCGATTTTTGGTTCGGTTCAATTAATCGATAGATTGTAACCAAACTGAAGTGAAATATTGATAAAATAACACAAAAACCGAACCAATTTATCAGTTTTGGTTATTAGTTGTAACCATTAAATTAGTTAATATATTATCTTGCTAAAACGTTGATATTAATATAAATTTAATTTTAGTATATATATATATATTTATATATATTCCTTGATATAAGAAAAAAAAATAAAAACTTTACATATTCTTGTTCACTATATAATATTTAATGTATTATTTTATTGTAAAATTTGTTGTGATATCGTGTCATTATGTATATATATATATATAGAGAGAGAGAGAGAGAGAGAGAGATATATATATGTATATTCTTTTCTTTTTTTTGCTATAAAAGTTATTATTCTTCTTCTTCATTTTATTTTAGGTAATGAAAAACATTTAATGTTTGTTAATATTATTTATTAATGTACTTAATTTAAATTGTGTTACCAAATTTAAATAAAATATTGTGTATAAATATTTTACAAAATATATACACATTTTTTTAGAATTTAATTAAACATATTTAATTTAGCAATCGCTAATTAAGAACTAAATTCGTTTTATAATCATACGAATCAAAAGAGCTTATTGGATAAATTAATTATTATATAAATAAATTACGGCCACTTTAATCTGCCATTGATCTCATTACTCGTATACATGTGATTATTGAATAATGTGTCAGAAAAATTATATAATAATGGGGCGGTGCCGCCCCATATGCACCGGCCCCAATTGATGAAAAAAAAAATATATTAAAAATTGCAAGATTGATTGCAATTTGCTGGCCAAATTGTCAAGTTGTCCGTGATCTTCCTCTATAAAAGGGCATCGGCCAGAAGTGAAAAGAGACACCAATTAGTGAAATAAAGAGAGGAGAAAGGAAAAGAGAAAGGAAAGAAAGATAGATATACGTCTAAATATCGGACATAAAAATATCAAAAGAGGAGAAACAAGTGATATTTTTATTTGTTTTATGATATATCTTTTTATTTTTAGTGCTCAATTCTCAACTCCGTTAAAGTTCGCCGGAGCTCGTAAATCTGGTGTGCTACCTAGACGTTTGCCGTTGTATCTTTGGGGAAGTTACGCCTGAACCGTTAGCTGCCACACGGGGCGTATTCTTCTTGCGGAAAGAGTTTTACTCGCCTCGGCTAAAATCTTTCTGTATTTTCAGTTGTAATTTATTTTTCAGTTTAATTGTAATTTTCTATTTTTAGATTATTTGTAAGAACTGAAAAAAATACATATCAGTTCGTAGGATTCCCGTGTAATTTCACATCCAAATTTCCAACAATCGCAAGAAGAATATTCAGTCATCCTACTGAACTGATGGCATCCACCGGAGCAGGTTCCAGCTCTCAGCATCCGATCAATCATGTACCGGCTGTCCATGTTCCTACAGCTGAAAAGCCCGAAAAATTCAACGGGCTTGACTTTAAGAGGTGGCAACAAAAGATGCATTTTTACCACACCACTTTGGGTTTGGTGAAATACCTGAAGGACGACCCTCCGGTCATTTCTGAGAATGAGACCAATGCAGAACTACGCGCTGCGTACGATGCTTGGGGGCAAGGTGACTACCTTTGCCGTAACTATGTCCTGAACGGGCTTAGTAACGAGTTGTACAACGTGTACAGCTCTGTTGGTTCTGCCAAAGAGATTTGGGATGCCCTGGAGAAGAAGTACAAGACGGAGGATGCCGGGGCGAAGAAGTTCGTCGTCGGCAAATTTCTTGACTTCAAGATGGTTGACACGAAGACCTTCGTGTCACAAGTGCAAGAGTTCCAGCTGATCTTGCACGATATCCATTCTGAAGGGATGACTTTGAGTGAGTCATTCCAAGTAGCGGCTGTGATCGAGAAGCTGTCGCCAGGCTGGAAGGATTTCAAGAACTATTTCAAACACAAGAGAAAGGAGATGAGTCTTGAAGACCTGGTTGTTCGTCTTCGTATTGAGGAGGACAACCGTAATTCGTCGAGCAAAAGCCCGATAATGGAGGCTCGTGCGAACTTGTTGGAGCAAGGAAATTCGAGCAAAATGAAGCCCCTTAACAAAGAGAAGCAGCCCGCCAAGGTTTGGAAATTCACTGGATCTTGTTACAACTGTGGAAAGCCAAACCATATGGCGAAAGACTGCAAGCGGCCAAAGAAAGTTGGGCCAAATAAAAGGCAACCGAGTGCCCTTGTTGCTGAACACGGCCCTGTGCCGGGTGAATTAACCGACTTTTACATGTCGACTGTGGTGTTTGAAGCCAATTTGGTGGATAACCCGAGGGAGTGGTACATCGATA